ATAAACATTTCTGACTGTCCTTTCAGTTCTTCATATGCTTGTTTCTTAGGTGACAAAATGACAGAAATGGCATGTCTCCCTTTCAATGACATTTTTTCACAGCAGAGTCAGCCTTGGGATTCCCATCCTCATGGCTTGCCTCATCTGCATTTACAAAATTTCCTGCACTGGATCATGGGCTGTGCTTCTCTTACCACTCAGAAATACACTGACAATCATTGTATTCACTAATATTCATCCAGTCAAAGCGATCCTGTTAGCAAAAATAAAAATAAAAATAATAATGCATCCAATAGTCCTTGATGTTTGAGGATCTTGGAGCACATTTGAGTCTATGTGAACATAGTCTTGCACTACTGTGAGATGGATCAGTACTGATCTCTACAAGGCAAAGTGGAGGCATAAGAAATTAAGCAATACACTGCAGAGTGCATAAATAGCAACAGCACAGCCCAGGACATAACCCTTAGTCTTGGCTTTGAGATACATGTTTGGGCTCTTACCAGACACCAAATGAGAATTTTTACCATGACTATATTTAAAGGAAAGAAAAACATCTTTCCTTGTGTTATAGTTCTGTAGAAAATAATTCAATAATTCAAGGCTTTATAAAATTCATATTCATTTGAACCTGAAAATAGTCAAAGATTAGAGATAGAAATAAATACACCTGGCAGACAGGCAACAGCCCTGCTTTCAACAATTTTTTTCATATCTCCATTTTTCTTTTGGACTGATCCAACCTTTTCACACAGAACAGTTACATCTGGGTCTGATAGTGCACCAGCTACCCCACAGCCAGCATGTGACAATTGCTCTGTTTTTCCACTATCTACACAGAAAGAAAGCAAAGCCCCTGCTAACTGCTGCGCACGAGCTGCAGTTTGCTCCTTCACTTTCCAGTTTCAGCACAAAGTTGCATCCACCCAACAGACCCAAAACTGTGACAGACCTTCAACCCATCCCGGTCTCACAGGACATCCCTGGCAAGGCAGGGAGCAGTGTAGACCTGGGGGAAACAGTCAGTGCATGCTGGGAGGTCCCCACTGTAGCTAACCTGCAGCAGTCACCCACTTGCTTTGGGTGGTTCCAGATCCTGTGGAGTTATCACATCTAAGAACATTAGTTTAACAATGGCAGAGCTTCTGTGTTACTGGCTTCAGGATTCTGCTGCAGAAAGCACCACACCATACTATCCTTTTCATAAGATTCTGGCATTCTTTTAACAATAAGTTTATGGATTTGCCCATTCTTTTTTAATGGGAAGGCTGCTCCAAGAACCTTCTTGCTCTAAGAGCTAGGACATGTCTTCTAATTTTTGATCAAAACTCAGTCACGCACAGTTTCTTTTTTTTTTTCCCTACTGCTAAACTGTGTCCTGTAGCTCTTTCTCCT